GTTCCATGAGATGCGCACTGTTTATGACTCCCAATAAGGATGAAAAAGCTATACAATACTTATCAGCTTTTCAGAATAGATTGACTTTACTTGCAGGACGAAATCTCTACACACACGACCAACAAGGTTCATTCCTCTTTCCCAAAATAAAAACTGACAGTGTGACTAAACAAACTCGTGGAAATACAGGCTGAAGAGTTATTCTTAGCCAATCGTGAGACCAGCTTGAATGAAATTAAGCGGAAAAAAGAAGTTTGATCCAGAGGCTACCTACCTTAGTTTAGAGAAGTGCAGTTAATCTATTTACGTGATTTTAGTTACCACGTTGGTGAGATGCTAGACATCCCGTACGTGTGCTACGAAATGATTCAATTTGAATTTTGGAGAATGTAGTTTCTTATGGGCTTTTGTTTGTTTTTAAGTTGCGCCTAATTTTTATCCAAACATTTTAATTACCGGGTGGCACCATAGTATATTCTAACCTTATTGATCATGGGCAAATTTAAACTGGTCAAATATAACAAGTTAGTATGCGATCATCCGTGCGTATTTTTAATCCGGTCAGAATACGTACAAGTGCATTCCAACTGGAGATAATAAATTTTGATATCGAATTAGAAAGAAAAATAAGTTCTTCCATGCTTTTATGCAGGTCAGCACTATACATCCAGACTTTTGGGCACTGTTTCAAAGACGTCTCGATGGACCAGTCGGAATCGGTGGAAAACCGAAGATGAATTTATGTTAAACCAATGAAAGTCAGGAGGCATTTAGTCACCGATGTGAAGTGCTTCTCTGAGGACATTACCTAGTCTTCCGGCCCCTATAGATAGATATTCGAGATTCTTGGTAATCACCTCATAGGTCCGCCTATAATTTTTCTTAGCCATCGAGTTGCATTAAAATGTGACTCAAATGTGGTGAAGGACGACTTGCGTTAAATGAATCCAGAAGCCTCCAGCTTTGAAGCGCAGGGTTCAAATGCAACAACAATGCCTGATCTCCAGTTAAAACCAAACAGGTGTGTAAGTGAGTGTCGCCGGCAAATCTCTGACTTTAACGTTTTAGGAAGACTATCTGGGTATGTAGTTTTCCCACCAACCATCCCAATAGATGCTGAAATTTCCACAAATTATCAAGGAAGAATGCAAGTTTAAATTGACACAAACACGACCTGCGTTACAAGTTGACATGAGTCCTCAACTTAGGCTGCTTTCATTCAGCTACCAAATTCAAGCTTTCAAAAGAGATGGGGGTCATCTAATCTATCTCTGCACAAACCTTTGAGTCTGGCCACCAGTCATTAGGAAACTTGATGAATTTTTGCATAACCAAGTATCAGTCCTCGTGGGCCCCACCGAACACATGCGGTTTAGTCCAAATTGGATGCATGAGCTCCAAATGAGGCATGTAGTAATTGCTTCAATTCATTTATTTCTCCTGGGACAGGCGGTTGGGAAATACTGGTTATCAGGTTTGCGAAATTAAGTGTGAATGATCACGTACCCGGAATTCACAGCTAGAGAATCCCAACGCTCCGAAACATATCTACACCATAAGGGTTAGGCAGCATGTAGAGTCTTTCGCTTATTTTGTTGCAGCACCAGGATATTTCAAAAAGGAAATCTAACCACCCGAATTAACAGGAATG